TACTGGTTATAGGCAGACTTTTTTGTAACTAAAATGAATTAGATGCTGTATTTATAAAACTGAACAGATGATTTGTAAGAGCCTTACAGAGTTTATGGGACTTTGCGGGAAAGGCCACACCTTGTTAAGATAGCCAGCTAGGATAAGTCGTAAGGTGCATGAAGAAGAATTAAGTTCAAGGTACAGTAGCTTTTACTACCTCACATGCACTTATTTTTACTTTCTTAAAATTATCATCATACAGTTTCCTAAGATATGAAATATTTGCATCTTAACTTGAAACATGGAAAACAATTTATCTTCACATGAAACTTACTTTTGGCTATAAACTGTACATTGTTAAAAAAAATGGAAAGAGGAAAATTAAGTAAAATAAAAAAAGACTTGAATCTGATTCCTTTTTAATTTATGTACAAACTTATATTTTTGTCTCCTTATAAAGAAACTGGCATTTCAATCTTTATCTTACAGTAACCAGTTATGTATTCAAAGTGTTGAATATGCTTTTTTTTTAATATTCAAGAGGAATGAGACCAAACTGTCTCAAGTTAAGTGAAAAATGTTCACCAGTGTGCATTTTAAATGTAAAAATATCTCCTACTGTGGTTTTAAAACATAAAAAAAATCAGAGTAAACAAAATAAGATAATAACATATGGACACTTAACTGGAATTTGACTGGGAAATACTGTAAAAAATTAGTTTTAATTGTAATTGATGTTTTTGAAATATTTTTTTATGTTTTCACTTTATGTTTTGAATTACATTTTGTTTTTGCTAGCTTTTAAAAGGGGAACTAAATCAAAATTTTCTGATTTTTCTCTTATAGGTGGCCTGACCTTTTCCATAAACTCTGATGGTTTCTTTATCTTTGCTTTACTGAAATAAAAAAAAAAAGATAAGTTTTGAAAAACAGCTAATACATAACCATGTCAGTTCTTGGTTGTACAATCCTGCCCTTTATGTGTTTAAAAAATTTTAAGTTGTAAGGAAATGTCAGTTTACTGAATTACTTTTTTTCATTAGGCTATAGAAATACAAATCAAATGTTATAATTCTTTCTAATTTAAAAAATAAAGTAAATTGTATTTCACAATAATACAACAGTTACAAGAGATACTTGGAAATAAAACTTGAAGAAACCACATGTATATGTTTGTGATATACAGACACAGCTATATGAAAAAGTTGGGTTTGTTTTGTTACGTCTCTGGTCGTTTGTTAATTTCCCGTACAAATTCTTTCTGAAAAACTTCATCGATAAAGTAAATTGTATTTCACAATAATACAACAGTTACAAGAGATACTTGGAAAGAAAACTTGAAGAAACCACATGTATATTTTTGTGATATACAGACACAGCTATATGAAAAAGTTGGGTTTGTTTTTTACATCTCTGGTCGTTTGTTAATTTTCCGTGGAAATTCTTTCTGAAAAACTTCAGCGATACAAGTCCTTTCTTAAATAAAACTAGTTTAAAGTGACGTGGAAATTCTGTGTATTGCAAAGTTGTATTGAGAAAGAATAACTTAAACACACGCTATAATTCACAACGATTCACGCACTTTACTTAAGGTCACTACCCCTCACTTGACTCAATTATCTGTCTATCTGCAATTATCTATGCCGTCACTTCTCCCCGATCTTATATATACAAAATAGAGGGCGTCTGGCAAACACTCGAGCCTTCAGGAACCTTCTAGATACTTATTACGTGTTACCAGGGTCACGTGACTTCCGCTGTCGTAACACTGCCCCTTCTTTAGTATTGTTCGTCCCGAACAATAGCCACTTAAATTAAACTAAAAGATAATTAACAATAACTTAATTAAATGTACAGAATTTACAAACACAAAATTAAAATTCAAAGTCTCTTAATTTTATGGGACGTATCTTTTTCTGTATTGGTCTCTGTCTCGTTGGCTTCTGCTTCACGTGAGGTTCATCTGCTCCATCAGCAAACATCCTATTATCGGTAATAGTCACATCAATGGTAGTAACTTCATGAAGGGCTTCACTGTTTCCCTTTTCAAAACCGAGTAGAATTTCTTCCCCGACAGTGGCTTTTTCAGGTGACACATTTTCAGCGGCGTCTTTTGTTCCATTATTCACTTCGTCCCAACTGAAATGTCCTGGACCGTGATAATGCCAAAGCCTGTTGGCATATACCACCTTTGGCTTGCCTCGCCGACCACATTTTATTCGGAAAGTCACGTCTGAGAGACGATCCACTATGTCATATGGGCCTTCCCATGGAGAAGACAACTTAGGAGACTTCCCTTTGGTCTTCCTGGGATTATAAAACCACACCTTGTCTCCTGGTACAAAGCTGACTTCAGTAGATCTCTTATCATAACATAGCTTCATTGAATCAGCAGACGTTTTCAAGTTTGGTCGCACTTGATGATGAATATCATCCATCCTTTCAGATAACACTTTCACGAACTCTGACACATTCTCAGGCAACTCTTCGTAAAGTGGGGGTCCTGTTATCAGATCTACTGGCAACTGAAGTTCCCGACCAAACATCAACTTTGCTGGAGTGTATCCAGTGACTTCATGCTCTGCTGTTCTATAGGCCATCAACAGTGGAGGGAGTAAGACATCCCAGTCATTTGGGCGGCTATTACTAAACTTTGCCAATTACTGTCCCAGTGTCCAGTTGTACTTTTCTACTGTTACGTCTCCGGTTGTTAATTAATTTTCCGTAACTTCGTTCCGACGAAACTTAAGCGACACAAGTTTTTTCTTAGTAAAAACTGGTTTATTATTGCCGAATATAACTTTACCAATACACTCAACTTCAACAATCGCGCTAAACAAACGC